GTTATAATTCTTTCCAAATTAATAACATTTGGATGTATCAGTGCTTCCATCATAGAAAGCCAGACTGGTATTTTCGTATAGTTTTTTGTTTTGATTTTTTCCCATACTAACAGTAATTAGTATGGGAAAAAATCAAAACAGAAAACTACGTAATGTCTTTGGAAATATCTATGTATTTTATTCTTATCATACCACAAAAAAGCGTGCCACCCCATTTGAAGATCATGTCCCTCCAATAATAATAATCTTCTACGTCTCAGTGCTGAATTGTCATCGTTCCAATGCTTTCCAATGCTGAAGGGCTTGTAAAGAAAGATGTGGGAACCACCACAACCATCACAATTTTAGATCTATGGTGTTTCAATTCAGTGGTCTGTATTTAAAATTATTTCTGGTGAGTTGCCCTGGCATTTTATGAAAAATATCATATGAATTAGTTAAATAAGATTGTCCTGGAATTTGATCCATTTCTTCTGAACTCTTAATTCTAGTTACATGGACAATAAATCCATACAATGACCTTGGAGAGAAGCCATTATCTTATTTATTTTTTGTAATAAGTTTTTATTTTATAGTATATAAAAAATCCAATTTCAATTAAACTGTGTTGACTGAGTACAAATCATTTTAGGAAGTAATATTCAAAAGTTTACAGCAATATTCATTGTATTTATATCAATAATCAATAATATCAATAATTATATATTATAATTATAATTATATATAATTATATATATAATTATATGTGTGTGTGTGTTTATATATATATATATATATATATATATATATATATATATATATATATATATATTAATACCATTAATAGTCATACTATTTGTTTAACCAATTTAACACATCTTCCTTGTATCACTGATCCCTTCATATATTTCCCTGTTTCTAGCTCCTGTTTTTGTCAGCTAGAATAAGTCCCAAGTCAAAAAATATTCCGTTTCTTTCTTTTCCTTAATTGTGTTAGTTTGTCCATTTCTGCACATTCTAATATTTTTCTAATCACATCTTCATCAGTTGGGATCTCTTCACTTTTCCACTGTTGTGCAAATACTATTCTCGCTGCTGTTAATACATGTAAAATCAGATATACATTCCCTTTATTATACTTATCTGGTAAAATGCCCAACAAAAATGTCTCTAGTTTCAAGTCTATATGTTGTTTTATCATTTTTCCAACCATGTATTTTTGTCTAATATTTTTTCACTTTTTGACATGTCCACCACAGATGATAGTATGAACAAGGTGTCTGATGACATTTCCAACGTTTTGCAGATTTTTTCTTAAACATCTTTGCTAAACTTGAGGGTAAAAAATGGCATCCATAAAACATTTAATAAAGATTTTCTTTGTATGCAGTAGACATTGTTAATTTATAATTTCTATCCCATAATTTCTGCTATTGGTCTAACTTAATCAGCCAAAATTTTAGCCCATACTATCATTGTCTCTTGTTCATCTTCCATCTAAATACTTAACAAATAGCTATATATTTTCTTTATTACTTTTTCATCTGTCCCTCTTAATATCTGATCTAATTCTATTAATTATTTACTTAAACCATACATTTTAACTTTCTTCTCATGTCTAGATTGTATCTGCACATATGACCACCATGTTATCTCAATCCCATGATCACTCAATTCCTGTTTGGTTTTAAGTTCCCCTTTTTCACAACTAGTGAAAAAATTTCAGACCAGAAAGCCATATGATAAGTCCATCAGTCAAAAAGTGTAAAAGTATTTTTTTTAGCTTAGGGTATGTATATTCAAACAGAATTTTAAAAATGTGTATCTAAACCACTCGATAATTTCCCAGGATGGGTGCGATATAATCAGTACACTAATTATACCCAATTATACATCTCTACTCCTGGCCAGGTAGGTGATGCTGTCATGGTGCCAACTTGAGTGCCTAGGGGCTATGAGGGTCTGGATGGGAAAGAACCAATTTTGACTCAACCCTGGGTCCCTACCTTTTTAATTTCTGGAGATCACTCAAGACTTGGCTCTTCCCCCAAATGCTGAGATAGAGTGAGGTCAGTGCAGGATGAGTATATCATGGGTTGCATCAGTGAAGTATGATTGCAGGGCCAGGTGTTTTTGTTTTAGGTTGTATTGCCTTTTGTTTATAGATATATAAATGAGTTTTAAGCCTCTCTCTGCTTCCAGTTTGGTTTTAAGATGGGAGGCTATACTAATGTCTTAAATAAATTTAAATAAAAATATAATCAGAAGCTTAAACTTTTCCTAGACTTTAGATACAGTCTGTAGAGGGACTTATTTGAATGCTTCTCTTTGAAGAACTAAGCATTTCAGATTAGCACATGAAATTTCCAAATGATTAAAGCAGGCATTTTTAAGTTAACAAATCAATAAACCAAGCCAGCTTTGTTTTGTACTTTTTATTACCAAACTTACTTCGATAAGACTGATCTTTCATATTATGCACAAACCATGATATTGCAGCAAAAATCTTACCTGATTCAATCATTTGATAGGATATCTGAATATGTACATATCAACCCATTTCTTCTTTTGAAAATGAATAATTTCAATCCATTTCTTCTTTTGAAAATGAATCATTTTTCCCTTTAGCTTGAGTTCCCAATTGCTTTTAAACAAGAAGATAGGGCAGGGATCCCCAACCCCCAGGCTATGGACCGGTGTGTCCTGTTAGGATACAAGCTGCCCAGCCGGAGGTGAACGGTGGGTGAGCAAAACTGTCCATGTGAGGGATATAGGTTGCACACTCCTCCTTCTGCCTCCAGTCTGTGGAAAAATTGTCTTCCATGAAAGTGGTCTCTGGTGCCAGAACAATTGGGGACCACTTTGATAGGATAATGAAGCATTCATGTAGTATATTTCTATTCCTCTTGCAAAGAAAAATCTAACATACCAAACATACAAAAATCATACACACAAAGGGAAGTAGTCAAAAATGGCCTAGGAAACTGATGAAGAATAGACGTGCACTGGAGGAAGAAGGACATCGGTCAAAAGATATGTTTGATATCGTCTTTACTTCTTGTTCATTTGTATCAATATCAAGTCCAATAACATTGAAAAAAACTGCTCTTATGGTCATATGTCAAGTACTCTGTTTCTTTAAACCTCTTTCCAAACTAAGTTATGTAGAAGCATTGAATTGGATTGGATTTTATGACAGATTAATTTAAATGTAGAACATTTCTTCTTTCAGGGCTACAAAATTTGGATGACCAGTAAATAGCAGCAGAGAGATAGAAAAATACCAAGATTACTAGTGATTATGGCTGCTCAAATAATGCCCCCTTGTCCATTCCATATGGAGGAATATTCAAAAACATCCACATAGTTATGTAGCCAAGTTAGGACAAAAGAATGCATTTGATGATAATCAGGACCATCCATCCATCCAATTAATGTGCCACCCATTTCACTATCCAGAACAACTCCCAGTGGCTTCCAATGGCATTAAAGCATAAATAGGTATGTCGTGGACCATGCCAGTTAAAGAATTCTGACAGACAGGGTCCAGGAAGAGAGCTGCTCTGCCATTGTGCTACCCTGTGGAAAATTCTCTCCCCTTCCCCATCATCAGAACTGAAGCAGGCCGCTTGCTCTCCTGGCCTTCCAGAAAGGAATGAAATCATAGTTTAATGGCCATTGTGGGGAGCCCATAGGAGCATACAGCTGTGTGGCTTGTTAGCACTCTCTTTGCCTGTTAATTTTTAACAGTTTTTAATCACCTTTGCCTGATTGTTAAATTTTTAACTTTTATATACTGTTTTCATGTTTTAGTATTTATTACACACCGCCCAGAGTCTCTGTGTGAAGAATGGAATGGAATGGAATGGGAATAGGAATAGAATTCTTTATTGGCCAAATGTGATTGGACACACAAGGAATTTGTCTTTGATGCATATGCTCTCAGTGTACATAAAAAGACAAGATACACTCGTCAAGAATCACAGGGCACAACACCCAGTGAGAGTCATACGATACAATAAGCATTTGGCTTATTGGATATGGACTATTTTAAAATGTGATAAATAACTATAAAAGCATAAAATTAAATGAAGGTTAAGAACCAAGAGCACAGAGGTACTCTCTGTCTCTCACTCAACCAACTCCAGTACAGTGCACCCACACTGCGGGGCCCACCCAACAGGCAAATTAACACATATTTTCTCACTGCTTCTAGTCCCACAGTTTTTAATACCAAGCTGCGGCTTTTCTAAATTTAAGCATGTTGTCCAAACAAAAAGTATCATTTCCCACTAGGAGTGACTGTACCCTAATAAGTGCTAAATAAATAGGATTCAAAGTGCTATATTGGAATGGTAGCCAGTCTGAATTTGGACAGTTCATTTAATCATAGTCAAGCCACTAAATGTTGATAAAGGAAGTCTGCAGAGATTCTCAGTCATCCAGGTCATGGTTGTCCCAAAAGTGCTTTTTCAGCACTTAACCCTAACCCTAACCCTAACCCAGGGGTCTGCAACCTTAAACACTCAAAGAGCCATTTGGACCCATTTTCCACAGAAAAGAAAACACCGGAAGCCACAAAACCCTTCCCGTGCCTGACGGCCACAAAACTAGCTTATGTAGTTGAATTAAACGTTCTGTTTTCTTCTGAAACTTTTCTTTTCTTGGATTTATCCATGGTTGGCCTACCAGGCATTGAAAAGCTCAGTAAATTGTGTGCCGTTGGGTGTTGTACATTGGCGGTTGTTACGCATATTTTGAGTGACAGGGTGTCGCAGTAGAGGGATGAAAAAGTCACATGCGGCTCAAGAGCCGCAGGTTGCTGACCTCTGTCCTAACCCTTGCAGGAACCCTTCCATTATATTCCTTGTGTTGATAAGGAACCACCCACGAAAGCAGCAAGGAGATGGTGTGTCATGCACTGTTACGACTAGAATGGTTTAGCTTACTGGAGAAGCTTTAGCTGTGCTATCCAAAAGAGCCTCAAGGTAAACAAAAAATAAATAAAATAAAATCCAGACTTAAAATATACAATAGCACTTTTATTGCAACAATTGCTTGCAAGTTAAAATGTAGTTGGCAATTTTATGAGATTCAAAACATGTTCTGAACAAAAGCAAGTCTTTATACATCCACATTTGCCTAATATGAATGTTTTACAGATTAAATGTAAGTTTCCAATAGAAATTAAATAATGTAAGGAAAAATATGAAAAGTGCAGTAGAGCAAACAAATTTTATCTACTTAATACTGTATCTTAATAATGTAATCTTCTCCAGCAGGAACACTTTCTCAAAAGTTATCAGTGGTCTGTATCTTTTTAAACTGAAAAACAAGGCCCCGTTTCAGTTCCAGACTAAAGACTTTAACATATGAACAACTGTCAGCAAGAAAGTCCCACTGAGAACTATTTTGCTAGTTACTACATTTGGAGCATTGTTACACAAATTCCATTGGCAGCACCTGTATCTGAAGTTTTTTGTTCCGAACGAATTTGAAATAAAGTCTACATTGCAGTCAGAATACTTCCAGCAGCGAGATGAATTTTTTACACCTTAAAAAGAAAAAAAAAAAACCCCAAAGATTATAAAGTTAGGTTCTATCCTACATAATTAAAAAAAAGTTTTCTCTGCATATAGGTGAAAATAGTCTTTTCAATAATTTCAGTCTTTTTAATCAGTTGTTAAATTAAAAATACCTTAAATGATATTGTAAGACTATTTGTACCCCACTTTTCTATATAAAATCCCAAAAAAGTTTTTAAAAGTTGCTGTAAAGATTTTGAATTGGCCCAAATCCTTAGTCAAAAAAAAAAAAAAAAAAAATCAATCTTATTTAATTGGGAGATTTTACCATCTCTGTTTTATTGCTCATCTATCCTAAATATAAATATTTGGCCTATTTATTAGGCCAAATAAGACAGAAAAAAATAAATGTTTTTTTCCCACCAAAAAAGGAGAAAGTAAAATAAGCAATGATGCCTTAGCCACTCATTAGAAAACTTTAAGTCATAGTTTGAATAATTGTTTTAGTAAAACAAGAATTTAGTAGCGTTTCCGTGAAAATACAACCTGCTCCGAAAACAAGCCCTAGCCCGATTTTCATATCTACACCTCATATAATCCCTACCCCAAAAATAAGCCCTAGCTAAGCCCTGCTCACCACTTGGTTGTACAAGGTGGAGTGAGGCGCATGTGTTAAAATCAAGATAGGGCAGGGTGGAGCTGCCCTACACCTGCTTATCTTAGGACCGCCACAACCACGTCTCCCATGCCCGACACCTGTTGCGCTCCTGCTTGACTTCTGCGGCCGGACGCTGCGTGGTTTGTCATGCTGGTGCTGCCGCTCGCACAACAGCAAACCACACCACATGGCCTTCTGCTGCAAGCGGCAGCACTGGAACAAGCCATGCAGCATACTTCCACAAGCAGCAGCACTAGTGTGATGCAAAAGGGCAACGGCGTGACAGGTATCCGGGTGTAGGAGGCATGGCTGCGGTGATCCTAAGGTGAGCGGGTAAGACATCCTCTGAAAATAAGACCTGGTGCTTATTTTGGGGCCCCAAAAGAAAATAAGATTAGGTCTTATTTTCAGGGAAAATAATATTTGTACTTTAGTACAAATAGAACCACAGTTGCATAATTCTAACTGTTGAAAATAATGTTGAAAACAAAGAATACCAGAAGAAGAGTAGCTATTGTCATTTTCAGCTGAATTCACAAAATGAATTAACAAAATAATCCCAAATTGTGTTGGAGAAGGAAATTACTTGAGCAGAGGGTTGGATTAGAAGACCTCCAAGGTTTCTTACAATCCGGCCCTGAGCCCACTATTAGCTTTCCAAAACTATTAACTGTTCTTCCAAGACATAAGATTTTCAGCATCAATTCTCCTCCATTTCCCTGCTTGCCTTGGTATTTGGTTGGTTCTGGACAACCCTATTTTTTTTCCAATCACATTTTCTTCTCAAGAAAATGTAAGAAGTCTCTCTGGCATTTTCATTCTGCAACATTCTCCCTGGAGATTTGTTATATCTGCACCTTACAGTGTTATCAGTACTTTTTAAAAGAGTACTAGAAACATAGATCTTCCCCATCCTAGAGGTAATGTGGTGGTGGGAAGTGTTTTTGTTTGGTTTTATCTCTGCAAGTGGGAAAGAGAGCCAGTTTAATTTAGTGATGAAGGCATCAGGCTAGAAACAGGAGACTGAATTCTAGTCCTACCTCAGGCCAATCATTCTTTTTCAGCCCTGCAAAGGCGGCAATGGCAAACTACTTCCAAAAAACTTTGTTCAGAAAACTGCAGGGATTTGTCCAGGCAGTCACCAGAAGTAAAAAAAAAAAAAAAAAGACTCAAAGGCACACATGAAAACAGTGGGGGTGGGCAGTGTTTGATTGTTGTTCCCTCCAGATGACACGTTATATTGACATTTTATTGCTGACTTCATTGTGTGCATATTAAACTGCACAGAATAATTAAAATCAGTCTAAATATCAGATTAATAAATTTTTATATTTCTTCAGAAATTAAATATAAAAGAGATAAAGTAATACTCACCCTGATATACTATTAAGCAAGTATCTTTATCACCTGTGCAGGTTATATTTTTGTCACAGTTCGCAAAATCACAATTGTAGCACACTAAAGCATTTCCTAAATAAAGGGAAAAAAGAAACTAAACACAATGTTCCCTTCTGAAACAGAATCCCTGTTAGAAAACATTATAAGTAGTCCTTTCTTACTGTTTTGTTTAGCAACAGTTCAAAGTTTTAACAATGTTAATAGCAATAGATTTATAGTATATACCGCTTTACAGTGATTTACAGTCCTCTCTAAGCGGTTTACAGAGTCAGCATATTGCCAACAATCTGGGTCCTTCATTTTACCCACCTCAGAAGATGGAAGGCTGAGTCAACCTTGAGCCTGGTGAGATTTGAACTGCCAAAATGCTGAACTGCCAGTCAGCAGAAGTAGCCTGCAGTACTACACTCTTAACTATTGTGCCACCATGGCTAAAAAAACCAGCTTTGCGAACAATCCATGTATTTACAACTATTGCATCATCATTCAGTGTTTCATGACTAGCTCCTGACAAGATTTCAGATTTCCAAAAATCTTGGCAGGGAAACTATATCGTTTCCAGGAGTCAAAACTGACTCAAAGACACACACACAAAAAATATGCTAGTGAAACTGGATCACTAGGATTACTCCAACAATTTGACTGGTTATAAAAGACAGTTTCATACAATTCAAACCAAGAATCTGTCATTCAAAGGGATATTTTTTTTCTATCATTATTATATTATCTGTATAATTCCAAACCATCAAACTAAAACTCAGTCAGCCCTTTGAATAATGAGCCACCTTTGTCTCCCTGTTCTATTCTTCTGGTCCCTGCATTGCTACCGTGGAGTTCACTTGCTTACCTGAATGGAGGAACAAAGCCAGAACAAAGGTAGTAATGACAGCAGTGACCAAAAGGGATTTCATCTTGTTTCTTCTATCCAACCTACAAAATAAAAAAATAAGTTGTCCTATCAGATGTTCTAAACCTAAAATAAACACAATAATCTAAACTGAACAACAGTATTTGTATCCTTAGCCTCAACTTTTTATAGCCTTTGTCAGTGATGGCTAACCTTTCCCTGACCAAGTGCCCAAAGCGTGAAAATGCAATACTTCCACAGCCCTGCGCATATTGCCCCCCACACTTGTGCCCACCCCCTGCATGCACCCTGCCCCCCCTGCATGCAGGCCCTCTCACATGCATGCGCATCCCCTGCACGTGGCCCCACCCCCGTGCATGCATGTATTTCCCCCACACGCACCCCACCTCCCACGCATGTGCCCCACCCCCGAGATCCGAAGACCAGTTGGCTGGTGGGAGGCACACACGCATGCGCAGCAGAGCTGTACTGAGGCAATGGCTCAGATGCCCACAGAGAGGGCACTGTGTGCCACAGGTTTGCAATCACGGGCTTATGTAATTATGCCAGCCTTATATAAAACTTTTATAAGTGCTAAATAGGAATAAAATTTTTTCCAGGCACATGACAGAATATTCATGAAAGGCAATGACCCTGACCCTGAAGAAAAGATCTGTTAAATTACTGGCCTCTAAAGTGAAACCACTAAAAAAGTATTACTAAATTTGAAAGCACTCTTGTGTGTCAAATAATTGGAATTTATCACAATATGAAGAAAAATGTTTATGTACTAAACCCACTACTCCATTTCATTGTTTCCAAAATACACTCTTGCTGGAAATCTCTCACCATTAGCTGTATCATTTAAATTGATTTTTATGCATTATCACATGGGACTTTTGTCTCATAAAGCATCAAAATCCCAAATGAATGCAAGCATTTCTTGAGCACAACAGTAGAAATGGCAATTAAAGTGCACAAGGTCACCTCATTCCTATTGGCGGTAAACAGTATAATGCAAAATGAAAAAAAGGAGCAAGAAAAACAACAAGAGAAAACAGCTAAAACTAGTCATCATCAGTACTATTAACTATATATTTCCATACATTTCAATCCTTTTTCTACCACACCCATATATTGCGTCATACTCCGCTTTTTCTTAAAAATTCTCACCACTGTTTTTGTGGATGTATTAAGTCCTTCTAGCCATATTTTCAATCCTCTCTATGCACATCCTTAACAAATTAAAAGTAAGTGCTCTATATGTGGCAAAGGTATGAAGCTGGCAATCTAGTTGCCAACTGCTATACTTCATTAAAAAGTCACACGAAGGTAGTTAAAAGTACATTATGTCTATGCTGTAGCACCAAATTCAGATTTAAGCATAAACTAAAGGAACAACAGTTTAGGCCTCATTCGGTGAAGGTTCCCAAAAGGCCTTAAAACCTGGCTCTGCCAATTGGCCTGGAGCCAAGGATGGGGCGTGTCATCCTGGAAGTAGTTAATTGGTTGGGAAAACATTCTGCCTCCACTTTTGTTTGTATCTTTCCCTTTCCCTTAGCCATTTTTGTTATGTTTAGTGGCACTATTTATTGTCTCAAGATTTTAAACCTAAGGTCATCTGACGGTGCGATGGCCGGCTTATGAATTTAATAAACACAAGTTTTACTTTTGAGAAATGGAGGAAGAAAATGTTTAAAGCTGTATCCGATAGCCAATTTTTCTAATTTTTGCAAAGGAGGAGTTCATTCAATTCGGATTTTTCATTTTTTAAACCTTGCTTGCAGGTAACAAAAAAGCACACTTTATTTAGGTGTATCCTGCCTTTTATTATTTTTGCAAATAACCCAAGCCTGCGGTGTGTTTGTCTGCGGGCGTGTGCGGTAGGTGCTCATCGAAGATCCTGTTTTGCCGTCCACCTTTGACAGACCCTGTGGTGCAATATAGGAAAGAAGCCTTCACGCTTTTACATAACTTAGGGCTCCACCAAGTTTCCATCTGTCACAGGCGTGCTATCTTGTTCCTGTGGTGGGGCGCCCGCGCCTTTTGAGTGGAGCAACAAGGCTGCGGGCAGCGACAAGGCGCCGTCTCCAAAAAGGTGAGCCGCTCCAAAAGAGTTGAAGTACAGCTGTCAGTTTCGCACGTCCATTAATAACTTTTTTTTTTAGGGGGGCAACCGAGTCCAAAATGCTTGCCCGGCTTTTACCTTTCACAGCGTTGGCTTGAAGGCGGCCACCCGCTTTCCCCTAACTTTCCATTTACATTAAGCGCAGGGAACAAGCTGGAAAGAAGGAAAAATGCTTACCCCGAGGAGGGAGGGAGGGAGGAGTGGGAGGGAGGGAGAGAGAGAGAGAGAGAGAGAGAGAGAGAGAGGAAAGCAACCAGGCAGGACTAAACCGCTATTTATTTTTAATCTTTTTTTTTTCTTTGCCTCCCACTCGTTCGCCTTTTCTTTTGTGCCTCCTTGGTATTCCAATCCCGCGTTAAATCCAAGCTAAAACCCGAGGATAGCTAGGGTCAAAACTCCACGCTACGCCGCCCCCCCACGACAAACGACCTGCGTGCGGCTGACTCAAGCTAGCAATCCGGCCGCTAGCGGGTTGCAAAGGAGCATTTGAGCAATCAAACTCAAGCGCCCAGGCCCTGCCAGAGGCCTCGTTTTCAAACGGGAGAAAACAGACAATACTTACCAGGCAAACGGAGACGGCCAGACGAGACGAGACTAAGACTCAATGCCGCGTCACAGGAAAAACACGCCCGACTCTGCCGAAGCTTCTCAGCTCACGTCTGGCGCTCTCAATTCGGCAAAGCAATATATATATATATATATATTTAAAAAAAACTCGGCCGAGGCGGAGCCAACCTCACGTTGATTTTCACTGGCTAGTTTGCAGATTTCCCGATCCTGATTGGCTGCGTGATCATGGAGATCGCAGAATAAAGAACTATTTCTTGGCTTTCAACTACAGGGTTGAGCCAATATTTGGGAGATTAATCACAAAAGTTGAGGAGAGTGATGCGTACCGTAATAATAGGAATATCAAGAGAGGAGGGGGAGGGAAACAGCATATTTCAATACATTTTAACCATTTTATTCCAGGGGTGGTGTATGTATGTATGTATGCATGCATGTATGACAGTTACAATATAGCAATAGGAACGGAAATCCAAAATGCTCGCTCTTTTACGAGACCCTCTCTCAGGGTAATTGGCAATCTCCAATTCCTGATGACGGAAGCTATCCCGTGGTACGTATGCTATATTGCTCCACCGGCCGCGCCCAAAACGTAACTATGATAAACTACAGATTTAGGACGCGCTCAGAATATATAGCAGGCTCGGGCTACATTCTTAAGGTGACTTATTTTATCTATATGTGCTTCGGAGTCTGATCCGGAGCAGTATTAGAAGATCTATCTAAACACAGATGAGCCAATACACCACCAATTTTTTATTCAAGATCCTTTATTCTGCATACAAGTAATGTGAATTTTGATTTTGAAAAATGTGAATTTCCAATGCTGCTTTAAGTAGGAACACCTATATTTCAAATGCTACAACATATAACTGCATGAAACTTTAAACACATAAAAACTTTATTAGAGGAGAGTTTTTAAGTGGCAAAAAATACATTTACCATCCTGTATTTTCATTTTCTATTTTGGAACCTTCTAATGCCAGAAATCATTGATGTCATTTAAAAGACCATACAAACTGGGAGAAAGAATGTAAACTAGTTAATTGATAAATAGATATTGTGGTATGAAAGAATAGTACTATTATGCAAAACTGTAAGCAATGAGAACTATATTCTTTTTTCTCTTAGTAATTTGATAATTTCTACTACCAACAAATAAACTGCATTTCAATTCTCTTGAATTGTGCCTGGTTTTCATGGCACAATAATCCATGATTTAACCAGTTTTTCCAAATTAATCATTGGCAGTGTTGACCCAATGTCTTCTGAACCATAAAGTAGTCAAACACATTGTAGCCTATCAAACTGGAAACACACAGCCAACACCCTTTGGTGTTTCATAGGTAAAGCTATTTTCTATATTCACACATTAAGCTCACTCTGGTCTATTTTTTTTTTTTTTAATTTGATTTATATGCCGCCCTTCTCCGGAGACTCAGGGCGGCTTAAAGTGCATTAAGCAATAAGCAATATTTAAACTCTTGTCTTTTTATAATCAATTTGTAACCAAATATATTAAAAATCTTGTATTTCGTTATTGCTTATGTTATAAATACAGCCTGTTTCCCTTGTATCAGGGTCTTCACGTGCAATCTTACTGAACATGTCCATGTGTTCTTGACCTGGTTTTGCAAACCTGTCACAATTTTTTTGCTGACTGAAGTCCTCTGCATGAATAGGCAAAATGTACCTCACTTAAGAAGGTTGAGAGGAAACTTGTAAGTCTTGAAATAGCATGGGACAGAGTTTCCGTATTAACAGATTTTTCTCCAACAGTTTTAATATCTCTTTTTCATGGATTCCACCACCACCACCCCAAAAAAAATCAGTGAGCACTAATTTGGTCCTTGCTAGAATCTCTTCTAATTATTTTTTTTTCTTAAAAAACATTTTGATAGTTTCCATAAGAATCTTGAATTCTCACTCATGTTTCTAACTCCATACTTTCAGTACCATTAAAAGAGTGATCTTATACATCAGATCCCACTGAATTTATACAAACATATTTTGCTCCTTCCATATGGCCATTAGCACCAGATTTCTCCTTTAATTGCTGGGGAAAGCAGGATGTAATCCAGGAAGGTTTTTGTTTTGTTCTGATTTGTTTGTTTGATAAGGTGAATACTGACCTGATGAAAGACTGCAAGTCTTTTATGAAATTGATATTCCCATTGGTAAGTCCCATTGGACTTTTTAAAATCCAGAGTGGGGAGAAGTATCTGCAGAAAATATTTTTCTTTCTCTTTTATTGTTCCACATTTAACAAGCACATTGTGTAGTAATATTGTGTCTTTTCTTTTTCTTTTTTTCCATCCTTATCCACCTTTTATTATTGTAAGTAATATTGTGTCTTTTCTTTTTCTTTTTTTCCATCCTTATCCACCTTTCCTACTTTTGTCAATCACCTCAGTTCAGCTCATCCATTAAAAATATAAAAGTATAAACATAATTTGAATACATGAAAAGAGTAAGTAAAAAGGAATATTAGGACAGGGACGGTAGGCACGCTGGTGCACTTATGCACGCCCCTTACAGACTTCTTAGGAGTGGGGTGAGGTCAACAGTAGACAGTTTAAGGTTGAAGTTTTGGGGGTTTGGGGAAGAAACTACAGAGTCAGGTAGTGCATTCCAGGCATTGACCACTCTGTTACTGAAGTCATATTTACTGCAATCGAGTTTGGAACCGTTTACCTTGAGTTTGTTTGCTCGTGTATTGTTGTAGTTGAAGCTGAAGTATTCATTGACAGGAAGGACATTGTGGCAGATAATTTTATGTACTATCCTTAGGTCAGACTGAAGTCAGTGTAGTTCTAAATTGTCTAAGCCCAAAATTTGGAGTCTGGTGGCATAAGGTATTTTATTGCGGTTAGAGGAATGGAGGACTCTTCTCATAAAATATCTTCCTATAAAATATCCATTCCTATAGCCTTCTTGCTTTCTCTGAATCGTTACTCAAAAAGTAACTCAGCTATATTTTGAGGGTGAAATACTATGGGGCAAATGTTGTGGGAGACATCCAATCTGATATTGACATATGTTCCTCTTGTCTCAGGATAAAAAAATTATCATGGGGCTACAAAAGTCTCAAAGAAAAAGGAAAGATGTAATAGATTTCAACTTGTAAAATAGATTTAATGAATACATGAATGCATAGTTAGAAATGAATGTCTAGCTATAAACAAAGGCCTAAAATGTATGTCAGAAAGTCAAAATTGATGTCATTGAGGCTGTTTTGAATAGTGTGAAAGTAATAATTCATAGGTTGGTGATAGTTACATATTATCCTCTAATGAACAATGATAACAGAAGAACCAGATAAGAATTTGACGTGGGGGGAGGGGGGATGTGCAACATTCTGAAGGAATGCTCTCCTGGAGAAGAATATTCTGCTAAATCGTATGAATGGATGGAATGGATGAGCACAAAATGGTTGATTAAGCCATTCAGAAAAATTAAGAATAAATTACAATGGTGAATATTTAGTCACTGTCTCCTTAGTTTCATATACATCCTTAAAGCTGTAGTATAATTAGGACTGGTAGCTCCTTGGTGATTTCAGATTAAAATGATCAACAGAGACAACATATATTATGTTGAGAAATATTATAGGACATGCAAGTGATTACAAAGTTCATATCCAAATCCTGCAAGGGCCAGGATCAGAATGGAATTAAGGCTGTAATCCTATATTCAATGGGGATTTTCTTCCAAATATATAGGATCTGTATTTCAATATACCCATATGACTATAGCTCTGTTCAAATGTGATTTCTCTTGTTTTGATAAAATCAGCATGATAAACTAATTTTATGTATAACAATTGGGAAAGTTTAAATTTACACCAAAAATTATGTGTTAACATAATTTTTTGCCTTAAAATTAGGCTATAAATAAGGATGGGAAAAGATTCCTCTTTCCATCCTTATTTATATTTATGAAATGTCTGCAAGAAAACAAGCAAGCACCAAGGACCTCTCAAGAGATTCCTATATGACTATGAAATAAATAATTTCAAAATGAGTTTTAGTGGATAATTTCCACAATATCCAGAATCCAGATACTGAAGCATCCAATCTGGTAGAGGAGGGATCAAGTGTGGAGCTAGCCTGGAGACCCTGAGCAACTACAAAAAATCTAGGGCCAATCTCTCTCCTAAATTCCTTGGGGCGTTATATAATTATTTACAAGACTGGGGATATTCATGCGTTATAGGCAGAACATAAAGTAATTAGCTCGAACTCTATAGATGTGGGTTGTTCGTGCCTGACAGATATAAAGGAAACCGTTTTTAAAGTAATAATATTGGCCTGATGTAGGTTCCATAATTAATCAGGGCACTGATAGAGGTCACATCCATTTCCAGTTAGTCACAGCTTTCTCCTGAGAGAAAGCACAGTAAAATTAGAAGTCTTTCTATCATCTAAAAAAAAAAACCCTCACTGCTGGCTCTAAAGAAATTTCCTCTTTTACATGTTTAATATTATAAAATGTGCATAACCATTTAGGATATAAAGCCTAGAAATTGTAGAATAAGGTGCTATTCATCTTGGTACCTCTAACTGGGTTTGACCAATTCATATAATTGTCAACCAGCACAGTGGTGGGTTGCCCCCGGTTCTATAGAACCGGTAGTAAAACCGGCGAGAGGCTCCGCCCACTGACCCCGACGTCATCAGAACGCTTCTGCGCATGCGCAGAAGAGCGAGCGAGGCAAGCATGCACAGCCCTGTTGCAAACCGGTAGTAAAGGTAAGTAGAACCCACCCTGAACCAGCGTAACAATTAAAAGACTGGAAGCCCAAAACCTTTGCAAGACATTAGGTTGAAAATGGCTATGTTAAAATTTCTAGATGTGCTTATTGAACTAGACCCGTCCATTGTTCACTGGGATCAATATATCAGTGTGCCAAGGATCAAGTGGGATCAAAAAGAGGTAGGCAAAGGAGAGAGGAATTGGTTGCTAGTTACATTACTGAGAATTGAGAGTATGTGGAGATCTAAGGTCCACAACTATATTAAGCATATAATGTATAATATTTATAAATACAAAACCATTTCAAGTTTGTTAGTATAATATAATGATATCCTATGAAATTTACTTACTATATTTTCAGCCTTGTGAATCTGGCAGATTCTGCCCATGCAATTAGTTTATGACATAGTGAATTATTAACCATTGTTATTATTTTTTAATCAGCAGAGTTGTGTAGTCACTGACACACAACTGTGTGCATGAAAAATAGTGTAATTCTGCAGGGCTATCATAGCCAGCTGCAAACATCTAGATTATCAGCAAATGGTAACACAGGGTTAATTCTATATATTTATATTCTGAAGAAGGTCTGAAGATGTTTACTTTAAAGTATTAGATAATACTTTATAGTATTATACAGCCTCATAGTGTTTACTGTGATACCTTTGTTAAATATGTAATAACATACATCGAACATGTTTTGTACAAACAGGTGATAAGTTTTTTTCTTGTTGAATGAAATTTGACCTGTTGTATTCCATCTTAAGGATTAAAAAAAACAATAGCTGGTTTGCTCACCACAATAGGGTAAAATGTGATTGTTTACTTTGTTGCTGAAGTGACGGTGGTGAATTCAGCCAGGATAGTTGTATAATTTTAAACAACTTGGTTAAATAAGTATAGACAGAGGGACAGTAATTTTCCTTTTGGTTTCTCTATTTCTCAAAACTCAGTTTCATTGCATTCACATATGGTGCTAGTCTGTTTACCAATTCCCAATAGTTGGAAGATTTTTGTCTTCTTTTGGCTCTCTCAGTTCTAACTGAATCTGTATACAGACCCTACTAATTCCTTCATTTAATTAGTGGGGGAAAGTGAATAATCTTTGCCCATCAGCTTTGCCTCCTTGGGCCATATTAGTTCCCACTGAAATAAGTTATAGTAATATTATAGGCTACTAATCTTCAGATCCAAAACCACAGGATTTATACATACCAAAGCAAAGCCAAGATTCTCTCAGGAATCTTTATACATATAGTGTAAGTAGAACATATTGCACATAGTTGTTTCAATACTTTTTAAGATATCAACAGTTCTAAATATATGGAAAAATCTGCAAAAGAATGTTAACAATTGTCCATATACAATATACTTTTAAAATGTGCCTATCATAGGAAGGACTCTGTTAAGTACTTCTCTATTTAATAAAGTCTTCACAGAAAACAATGCAATGAAAGGGGAAGATTATACTTTTAAATTAAGCTCTGTCAATATTAGGTTCTTTGTCTAAATGTGCTAAGGAATAGGAAATAAGTTTTGAAGCAGCAAAGCTCTATAGTTACCGAGTACACTACATAAAGTGCCACATATATATGAGTTCTCTCCAGAGCAGTTAGCTTAATACCTGGATAATAGGTAAAGATTGCAACAGCATGTTAAACAGATAGAAGGTCAAATCTGTCAATGTAGGACTATAAACAGTGGGATCCTACAACCATTTGTCTTGGTAACCTTGTAAACATGTTTAAGATGAGCTTGCATTAAAAGTGAGTTGTGAAATAGAGTATCCATGTTTACTGATAAACATGCAGCTGTTGAAAGTGATGAAGGAAAAATATATAAATTTGCTTCCTTACAAAACAAATCTGCCCAGAAATATGATAAATAAGCACTTTCGTTGCCATGGATTAACCAGAGATTATATATTAAGGAGAAGACTTAATAGTCAAAGACAATCAACATGCACTGAGTGAGAGTACTTTTTTTCCCACAAAATTGGTTTTCCATTTTTATATATTTCTTCTCCATTTCTTTTTTGGTTTAGCTTTAACACTCTTTTGGTTAAAAAGACATTGCTTCTTCAAATAGCTTTAGTTGCTCTAGTAAAAGTGCTTGTGTATCTGGAAGAATTGGGATATGCAGAGAATATATTACTTTGAATCGCCATATTATCGGGACATCATCCAAATCACAATCACTGCCGAAACACCAAGGGGAGTAGTATTGACGAGGAGGCTTGGACTCTTATTGCAGAAATCTCTTTGGCAGCAAAGGTGTCTAAAGCTGTCAACGCTAAATTCCTGGGCTACAACATCTTTGCTGCATTTTGACATTTTCCAGCACCTGTACGTTCTCAAATTCACTGTAAAGAAAATCAAAATATAACTTGAGATCTATTTTGCTTCTGATGGATTACAAGCAAGAAATTCATTTTCATATAATGAAAAATCACCTATTTATGTTATTCCAAATAACAGTTTAAAAACAAATCATTTCCTTGATTTGCATTATCTTCCTTTTCCAATATTTGTTTTACCATATGTAGATCCAGAGATTAGCACACTTCTCCTCAGAGAAGTCCATGACTGTTTTTAGAAGGACTGTAATCCAGTACAGCAGGGGTGTCAAATTTGCAGCCCACGGACCGGATGCGTCACGCGCTGGCCACGCCCACACCCAGTTTAGAGAAGGGGGAAAAAGTCATGAAACGTCATGTGATGCCGCCGTGACGGCAGCAACCTGCAGTAGAGATTGCTGTAGGAACAAGAGGTCAGAGGCAATTTTCATTGCCACTTATACCATTTTCTTTAATGTTCTGGAAGGTTTCAAAGTACTCTGGGAATTTCTTTAGGAAAAAAAAGTCGGTAATACCTAACTTTTTCTTTCCTGAACTTTTCTCCAGTAGAGGCATTTCACAAAGATCTCTGCTGCACTGGAATCACCCAAAATAACTTAATGGTTTACATAGCATCTTTTAGTTTTAAAGCACAAGTATAAAAGTTACTGTCTCTGCTGCTCAAGATTAGAAATTGAAGAGTTAATCTGGCTATAAACTTTTGCCTAGTTGCAAGAATGGTATTTTAATTTTGTTATCTATGGATTGAGAGTTCCATGAAGAAGATGCTGTGTGGACCATTGGCATATAGGAAGCTGAGTGAGCATGCTTCAAAAAGGATTCAGAAAGACTTCGGATCTTGAATGGGCATAATGCTTCTCTATTTATTCAAGCAGCCCGTCTTCTGTGCAAGTCTGAAAACAAGTTGCAGCTCCTTTAAGAATTATATTATGAATCAACTAAAGTTTTCCCCAGATCTTCCAGTTTCTGCCTTGCCAATTAGGACACAAAGTACAAGAGAACAAAGGCCTCTAGAGAGACTTTCTCCTGTTGTATTTTGTTCCCTGATTGGCAGGAAAGCTTTGATTTCTGCCAGTATGATCTAATTGAAAGAAAAGCAATCTTATCAATCTGTGTATTAGTGATTGTTTTCAGGTACCTCTCCCAATGGACAAGAGAAACCATGATGCCTATGCACAATGATTTTACATAATTAATTCTTTTTTATTTCTCGTGGATGCTTGCAGGTGAGTGGTGTGGTGGCCTAGAGGTAGAGCCTCACAATCAGGAGGCTGTGAGTTCGATCCTAGGTAGAGGCAGATATTTATCTCTCTGGGTACAATGAGAATATATCTGCTGCGAACTCCGCATTGGTGACAGGAAAGGCATCCGGCCAGTAAACACTCAGCTCCATTCAGTTGCCATGACTCCATCCCAATGCAAGGGATTACGGGGTCATTAAAAAAAAAGGAATGCTTGCAGGTGCTCTTTCTATAGAATTTCACTCGTTCATATGTACTTTTGTAATATTAACATTTGTTGGCATTACACTTCTGGAGGGACTCAAGTTGTCACATCCAGATCTTAGAAAGCAGTTTTCTGGAGATAAAAGCAGAATTAGAGCCTAAGGAATGATGCTGATAAGCACCCAGTTATACTCATAATCCAAAACTTTGTACAGCTCTTTTTAATTTCTGAGTCCACCCTTGTTAAAAAGGAGTGAGGAGTGAGGTTCAGATTTGGGAGATGGATGACTTCAGGAATAGAAAATTCAGATAAAAGAAGACTATAATTTTCAGGAAATCAAGATGGATGGAGGTCCAAGAATCTGAGCATTGTTGTCAAACTAGTTTAGTTTCCAAGTGCTTCTTCTTCTTTTTTTTAAAATTAATTTTATTAAATATACAATTTAAAAACATTAGACTTGGTGCAATTTATCTGGTACATACTTTTCTAGCACTTTTTCTTTCGTGTATATTACAATATAATATCAAGCATCCAAGTGCTGCTTTATCACCTTTTTGTAGAGTATGACTGAACTAATAATTTTATTAACATTGTTGGAGGACAAACATTAATCTATGGTAGCAAAAAAATCAGGAGTCTAGTAGCACTTTTCCCAACTAATATGTTTTACTAAAAGGCATAAGCTTTCATGAACTCCTGCAGCTTACAAAAGCCTTTTATTAAAGCTTTTTAGTAAAAATGTGTTAAGTCAGACAAAGTTGCTACCAGATTCCTTCTGGTAATTTTGTTAAAAATCCTAATGAGACAAAGAGCCTGATGGGGCACAAGGGAGGTGTCTAAGTGCCCATAGATGTTGATTATGCAATTTAAGTAATTTATCACAGTGCATTATTTAGGATAATTTCCAGCTTCTGCAGATTTCTCTTTCTACTGACTATACAGGTAGTCCTTGACTTACAACCACAATTGAGCCCAAAATTTCTGTTGTTAAGTGAGACATTTGTTAATGAGTTTTGCCTCATTTTACGATCTTTCTTGCCGCAGTGATTAAGTGAATCACTGTAAGTGTTAAATTAGTACTATAATATAGTTGTTAAGTGAATCTGCCTTCCCCATTGACTTTGCTTGTCAGAAGGTCACAAAAGGGGATCACATGACCCTCAGTACACTCTAACGGTCATAAATATGAGTAAGTTGCCAATCGTCTGAATTTTGATCACATGACCATGGGGATGCTGCAGGGGTCATAAGTGTGAAAGATGGTCATGAGTCACTTTTGTCAGTGCTGTTTTAACTTTGAAAGGTCACTAAACAAACTGTTGTAAATTGAGGATTACCTGTATTCAGTAACATCATGAGTGTTACAATTTATGAATATTCTTGAAAAAGCATTGTACTATAATCCTTTAGTTTTAAATTTTTTTTTCCTTTGGCAACTGTTCCAACTTCCAAGCAGCATTTTGCCTTTTTTTAATGTGACATACTAAGATTTGATAATGAACATGTGCTCTTTTCTTTATGGGAAAAATATCATTTCACTACCTCTTTTTTTTTTTTTTTTTGTTCAATAGTTTAAAAATGATGTTTTGGAATCTGACAGAAAAATGTTTACAGCAACAACCTCATACTCACTAATATGGGAAGAAATCACAACTTGACTCAGTGGAGCTTAACTTCTCAGAAGATATACATACTTGTACCAGAACATACTTGTACAGAACATACATATACCAAAATTCAGTTTATTCTTGCAGAGTATACATACCCATTCTAATTTGCAAGCAAGCGTCTTCTTCCTCAGTACACGTGAGATTGCTTCTACAGAGAAAAGGACTCTGTTCACAGATATAACATCGAAGTGCATAGCCTGAAACATAAAACAGTATTTTTTTTAATCTGCCAGATTTATGTAGTACACCATTCAATTATCTCACATTATTATCTCAGTAACTTAATAATGGTCTTGTTTGGTAGACTAAGGCTATTATCTAATCAATTTTCTTTGTTTATGTGCATATATGCATATGAGGACTAGCAGAATATTTGCTTTAAGATTTTAGCAAGAGACTGATTGTGAAAGTGACCCAGATTGAGTTGAAAAAAAATATGGGTTGAATCTGCTGAAATCTTCTGCTGTTCCTACTTTTTTTTAACTCTTCTTTTTTTAAAGGGAAAAATTAAAATGAATTTAGGAGATCAGTTGAACAAGAACAGTAGCAATCTAGCAAACCATGAGATGAACAGCCTTTTTTTCTATTGATAATTGAGAAATAAAAATAATAATATTCAGAGCTTGGGCTCATCTAACTCTCCAACATTTGAACATCGTAAAATAGACATCTGATTAAAATGTTTATATATGAATAGCCAAATATGGGAAGAAACTCAAAACTGCTTTCCTGGCCATCCATAGCTTCAAACACCATACTGAGGCAGGATCTAGGACAACTTAGTATGGCCAGCTCGGCATGGCCAGCTCACTGCCACCAGCTTATCATCACCAAGTTGTCACATGACAACTCAACATAGCCAATTTGTCATGGGGACAACTTGTCATGGGAACAATAGCTGGAGGGAGAGCTGGGTGGGCAACTGAGCGGGTGAGCAGAGTGCAGAGCAGCAGCGGTAGCCAGGGATTTCCCACCAGAGGGAGAACAGGCTGGGCAGCTGAGCGAGTAGGTGGCAAAGCTCAGTGACAGCAGCAGCATCTGGGCACTTCTCATTTTCATGTCACTGCAGCTGCCGCCACACTGACTTCCAAGCCATTCGGAGTATGAGCCATTTGGCAGTGGGTAGGGCAGGCATCATTTTAATACCTACTGCCACAGGCCATTAAGTGACAGCAGTATTTGGGCTGTTCTACGGCAGTGGTGCGGTGTGTGAAAATGAGATATAATAGCTGCTATGGCCTCCCCATCGTCCACCCTACCCACCACTGCCAAATGGCCTGTGGCGGCCATGGAGTGTATGTGAAAATGGGACACACCTGGCCTCCATTGCCTCACCACTCCCTGCCCACCACTGCTGCCGCTGAAAGGCCCGAACCACCACCACCCAGCCCAAACTGAATGGATTGAAGCTTGGTGCAGCGGTGGCAGCAAGGGAGATGTGAAAATGGGAAGCACTGCCACTCTGTGCTCTGCCCACATGCTGAGTGGTCCTGCAACAACTTGGTGACAGTTGGCAAAGCAACTTGACAGTGGTGAACTGACAGCGGTGAGCTGGCTACGCCAAGTTGTCCCATTCCGACTGAGGGATGCCTATCACATACTGCTTGTGGCAAAACGAAGGGTTGATTTTTGCTACCTGCCTAGAAATTACAAATATGTGTGCATACATTATTCATAGTGGAATCAATAGCAATAGCGCTTCGACTTATATACCTCTTCACAGTGCTTTACAGCCCTCTCTGAGATGTTTACAGAGTCAGCATATTGCCCCCAACAATCGGGGTCCTCATTTTGCCAACCTCAAAAGGATGGAAGGCTGAGTCAACCTTGAACTGGTGAGATTTGAACTGCCAAACTGTTGACAATTGGCAGTCAGCAGAATTAGCCTGAAATACTGCTTTCTAACCACTGCACCACCATGGCTCTTAATATTGGTTACCTAGTGTTTCTATAGCCTCTCACATTTAAAGTTTCAATCCTATTTAGCTAAATACATCCTATATATGTTATTTAGAAGACATAGCATAGCACTTACATAACAAAATCTCTAAGAGACTTTTATCCAGAAAGCATTTTAATCGACTGCAATAGGGGGTAAATGCTCTTGGATACATCAAATTCTGTTTATAGAGAGTATTGTCTACTGCTTTACTTCATCCCAAAGTGGCTTGGTCCATTCTCTTTAATAAAAATGCAGAAGTATCATAATACTTACCAGAACTGCAGGATATGGTTAGGATAATGAATGCCGTTAGGAGAATGTAGGTTGTTTTGTCCATGTCTAGAAGTAGAATCATACATGAGACCTTAAATAGAGAAGGTAACTCAAAAGGGTAAAAGAAAATCTGATCTGTCTATCCAAGTAAATGAAGCCTATGAAAATCAAAGCCTGAAAAGTCAGTAACAAGAAGGAAGATTCCCACCTCTCCACCCGATGAGTTTTTAAAAAGAGGAACCAGGCAGCTCCTTTTTAGCTTTGTTCCTACCAGAATACTTTCCAGAACTGGTAGAAAACCAAGCAAGATAGAAGGATAATGAATGCCGTTGGGAGAATGTATTTTATTTTGTCCATGCCTAGAAGGGTTGCAGATCAGAGAAATAATATAGCAAACTAGAAACAAATAGAGCTAGATGCAGGATAGATTCGGTTTTATTTGATAGTGACCTAAACTGATGGGGTTTTTCTTTTGTCTGTGTGCACATGTGTAGTTGGTGTGTCTCCTTGAATTCAGCCTGAGCTTCAAAATAAACTGACTTCTTTTTTTCCTTTGTCCTTTTGTTTCTTTCTTCTCCCTTCTAGTTCTTTAAGCCAAATTTTGATAATAAAACTTGGAATTCTTAATGAATTAGTACTTAATGCTCATTAGTACTAATGGAAGAAAGATTGGTGGTGGCAGCATTCATGACTAGGAATTTGCCAAGAATGCATTAGGATTGTGCCTGGAAGGTTTAAAAAAGGTTTCACAGGAGCCAGTGGAACAAAAATATTGTACCCCATGCAATATGTAGCAAGGCAATATGCTTTATGAAAGGAGTTCCTCCATGCACTGTTTTTGCCCATTAAAATCTATCCCCAGAAACCAGACAACTAAAATTGTCTCTCCCAATCTGGCATTTTTCCATGGTTCTCAGTCAGCATGGCCAACAGATATCCTTTACTTTGCATGAAGTTGCATAACTTGTTTTGCTGTTAGGATTTAGGCAGCAATATTATTTAGGCCCATTCAGTTCAATGGGATCTATATTTGGATTAGAAATGTTTTGGATTGCAAGTTGTTTTGGCTTCAGCGTAGGTTAGGAGCACCAGTATATTCAAGAAAACTCTGAATTTGCAGAAAGACAAGAATGAATGAATGATCAAGCACACACACACGCATACACCACAATTAAACATGAATGGAAGAAACAGCTCAACAAATATTCTGCATGAATGGAAATAAATATAGTTTAATGGAAAACTAAGAAAAAAGGAGTGTAAAAAAGTTGCCATACTATAGCCCCCCACTTTTGTGTTTAGAGCCAATACCAAGTATTGCAATAACCTGTCATCCAGATTGTGTGGAAGGTATTATATTAGCTTGCAAGGTAATATCTACAATTGAAATCTACTTTGCACAGAGTAGCAGAAACATGCTAGAACTGGTTGGTGATGTCATTATTATCAGTGGCATGCTATCTATGGCATGGATATACCTAGTCTTCTCTAATCAAGCTAATCTAACTAATCGACATCTTCGCTATCATATTGATCTGCTTGCACAGTGATTACATGCAGGAAAAATGTACCTTGCAACAAAATGTGCTTGTGCGTGAGATTCAAATAATTGCTGACAACTTCAGTAATATAGCTCATTGTCTCCTCATTCTGTTAACAGAGTTCAGAAATTGACAAAGGTGCAATATTTAGGAAACAATTTAAACTAGCTAGAACAAGCTAAGACAGGGTGTCAAACTCAAGGCCTGGGGGGTGGATCCAGCCCACGGAGTGCTTAGATCTGGCCCGCAGGGCCCTGGAAACAGCGAAGGACTGGCCCACAGGGCATCTGCCAGTGAAAATAGAGCTCGGGAGGGCTGCATGCCGCCCTCCTGAGCTCCATTTTCGCTGGCAGAGGGTTGCAGGAGGCTGTTGCAGCTGAAAACGGAGCTCGGGAGCCCGTTTTCGCTGGCAAAGCACTTGAGCCCCCACAGGCACCCCTGACATGAGTGACATCAAGCTGGCCACATCCACCCTGGCCACGCCCGCTGCAGTCCCCCCAAGTTCAAACACAACCCTGATGTGGCCCTCAATGACATCGAGTTTGACACCCTGGCGGCGGAAGGCTCTGCCCATCTGCCCTGATGTCATCACTGACAATCTGCTCGTACGCTTCTGTTGCGAACCGGTAGTAAAGGTAAGTGGAACCCACCCCTGCTCCCCACCTCAAAAGAAATCTGTTCCAAATGCAAAACACAAGCAGAGGAGTTTCACTTTCAGTTTTACTTTCACAGCAGCAAGCAGCTTTACTACAGAACAGTTGAGCTAACCCACACCCAGCCTCCTTCCTGTCTCCTTGCTCACACAGCAAATACTGTTTGAATTTCCAAACACCCCTCAACTCTCACACACTGACAGGATGCTAGCCAGATGAATACCGATGGATGCTGCGATCTGGGACATTCTATTCCCCCTGCCCCTCTGTTCCAACTGCCAATTGCATTATATTAACACACTCTGATGCTATGGAGTTACACATTCCACATTAAATTTCAGGCTATAAGTGTCAATTTATCAAGCCTGAGCACATAGTTTCATAGTGAAGCACGGGCGTCCAGCTAGTTAATTATAAGAGGAGGAGATGGGTAGAAAGTTGTTTTGCATTGCCCATATTCAGTGCATCAAATCCAAATAGTATAAAAGTTATGGCTCCACTATAGAATTTTCATGTATTGCCAGAAAAGTAGAGCTGTCTCTTTTAAAAAGAGGGACAGCTATTTACATCAAAAATTATATCCACTAATATATGGTTATAAACTAAGAAACATATAGAAATAATGCTTATAAACTAAGCACGCAAACAGTGCTGTAGATCTTATTCTAGTAAAAAGACTAAGGAAACACTGACCTCATCTGGTCACAAACATCTGGTGCCCAGATGTTTATGCAGTCCTACAGGACTGCACTATTATTTAACTATTTAATTAATAGGGATTCCTTTCTCACATTTTCATCAGTCAACTAGCAGATGACTTTAATAGTAGGGCTGTGCATGCATATAATACATGTTAGATAAATTGAAATTCTTTTATTACTTTCAACTGGCCGTGTTCCAATTTGTCAATAGCTTTCCAAAAAGAGCAGAATGCAAAATTGGACAGAAGTACTTCATTCTGTTAGGGATGATACTGGTGATGGTAATGGGGACTTAATTACTCTGCTAACAAATAAGGAAAAATAAAACAGAACAAGTGGGAATATAATATTGAGTTCAGTGATTGATTACAAGATAGAGCATCCTATATCTAGCAACGAAGTTCTCAAGAGAGAACATATTGATTTCTGCGTTCCTGGCTAGAAATAATTTCAGCCCATAATACAAAGAATTATTCAAACCATAATCAACACAATTTAGGAAGGCAGACCAATGCCAAGAGGCAAGCCCTCTTTCAGAAGAGGACTTTGTGAAAGTCTATTGTCCTTCAGCAGTACACATAGGGCAAATATTCAGTGCTTCTCTTGGCCAAAACAACAGGAGAGTCCCTTTGAAATGTCCTTAAGCAGAAGAAATGAAAAGGTGGAGCCACTGATCTAGAATTAATAATATAGCAAAAGACGGAGTTTGCTCCATATTGTGTTACTATTCCTCACTGGGTCTTGTAATGTGTATCTTGGTGGTGGTTGTTTTTTTTTTTTAACTTTTCTCGTCTTATGATGATGACAGTGGTTTAATTGTATAAGCGTTGCATTTTTGTCCTTTATTTAACTAATAAAATCACGAACATTTTACATGCAAGACTGCACGTTACATGCAAAGCCTGCACCCCCCGCAAGCCAGTCCCAACTAAAGAGTCTCCGGTCAAACAGAATACTACACGCCTCTGAAGGGCGTCCGGCTCATCAGAAAATCGGGAGGAGCAGCATCTAAAATGTTAGGTGTCATCCTCTCGCCTTCCGCGAAGGGATGAAGACTGAAGACCAAAAAAAGGAAAGAAAGAAAGAACAGCAGCAGCAGCAGCATTCCTACCCCAACGCGGCAGAAGCTGTTTCTAAACCCGCAGCTAAAGGCATGAGAGCTCCGTTTTTACTGATGTAAAAAAGGCCTCGCCCGTTAGTTTTAAGCCCGGCAAATGCAGTCCCGAAGCGTCACAAGAAGCCCGGCTCCTCTAAACGCCTTCCTTCCACCTCCTTCTCCACCAGCAAGCGCCCCTCTCAAGACTCCTCTCCGGATGCCCCTTCCCACATGCGACCGGGCTTAGAAAGAGGTTGCTCCCTGGATCCCACTAGCCTTCGCTCACCCAGACTGCTGCTTCAAAGGCGCGCCGAGCTGCTGAACCGCAGTCCTCCCCCTAGGGCCGCCGCTAAATCCTTAAACCTGAACGGCTCTGGGGCACTAGCAGGCTCCGCCTTCGGCTCCCTACTGCAGGTCTGCGGCAAAAGCAACTGTCAGCCTCAACTCCTTTTTTTTGTCTCTCTCCCTCTCTCTCTCTCTCTGTGTGTTTTCTCTCTCTCTTGCTGCTACAAGTTATGTAAGCATATAGAGCTGATCTTGGGGATACGGAAGGGAGCAATAAACTTTTAAGAGAATTGCTCAGTCCTGAAAAAAAATGGAAAGCAGGAGAAATAAAGTAAATACACTTATGTAGAATACACTAATATGCCTGGATATTGTTTGGGAATGAGATAGTACAGAGAGAAATTCTGACAGTAAGCAAAGAAACAGACAAATAAGGGGACGAGGAAAGAGACCTGGCATTGGCCTTCCATCCGCAGATAGTTAGGGAAGTTTCCCGTCAGTCTCAGCACTATCTTCGGGCAATCTTTTCAATAAGAAGGGGGACTCCACATTTATTAGTGTAGTTGGACTCTTTCTGCAACCAGAAAAACGATATTCCACCCACTTCTAATGTACTCCAAATGTTAGCACACCGTCTCTGTTGGTAATTGGGGAACATCAACCCCCACCCCCTGAAAATTATATTGATGGATGTATGCATTTCTAAATTCAATATGGTATTTGTATTGTGTCATTTGGGATATTTTTCTTACCTACTTAAAATGCTTACTTATCAGCCATGCCATCCAAATAGGGCAAGGCAGCAAAACTACTACTCACATGAGAATCCATAATATAAAATCTAAAGAAAACAAGATGTACAGGAGGCACTAGGAGAAACTAGGATCTGAACCACGAAGAGGGACAGAACTATCCTCTCTTCCCAGGGTGAGAGGGACCAGGGACTTCTTTTCCTTTTGTAACCCTTCTCTTTTTTGTTGTGACTTTTCTTGTGTTGCTTTCCAGGAATGAAAATACGCAATTGTTATGTGTTTCTTTTGATTGATGCTATGAGAAATGTTCCATTTTTCAGCATCTTAGTTGTGTGTTTAGGATTAACTTTCAAAACCTCTACTGGTCTTGAACCTCGGTTTGCAGCAAGGGTCAGCCAGATGCCCGTGGGAGTGTCTTAAAAGGTAGAGACTCTTTCAAGTCAAGCTCAGTGCCTAGCAACCATGCACTTTGTAACTTACTTGGCAACAACATGCAAGTGATTTGCCACTGCTGACTTCTGGAATTTTTTTCCAACTTTGTCTAGATTACAGCCCTGCCAAATGTCCAAATATTAACCAGCCTGAGCTGATGTAACATTTTTGGAATCAACTAAAGCTAATGAGATAGGGGCAACTTCAAAGATCTAGCCATGTACATCAGTATAGCACTACCCTTACAGGTATTTAATCAGAAAATCTACTTTGTTCAGTAAGCCCAAGGAAGTCCATTTATACTCTTGCACATTGAATTCATTACCATGTCAGGAAACATCAAGGATTTTCTGTTGCCTGAGGTGAAGGCAATGTGGCCCTCTCCCACTTCCATGCCCGACAGTTAACTGCATTATACTCCATTAACAGGATGAGGCTAATTTGGAGAGCTTGGGATGGGCTATATAACTATCTATAGCAATACTGTGATGCTACATTTTATCCTCTAGTCATGTTATGCTTGCGGCAGCCGTTTAGTCTGATACATCAAGTTTGACATCCATATATAAATGAGGTATCACATTGTGTGTTTGTGTGTGCCTTCGAGTCAGTTTTGACTCTTAAGAGATTGCCTGGCCAAATCTCTACATTTTTCTTGGTAAGGTTTTTCAGAAGTGCTTTGCTGTATTGCTGTAATTTGTACGCTATAATCATAGCAATAGTTGCTAATTTATTTGTAGGTTCAATTCAGAGTTCTGGCTGTTACCCTTAAAACACTGTGTAGCTTTGGCTTCCAACTATTTCCCATCAAGATTTTTCAACTTGTGCATTCCTGCAGGAGACTTTCCATCCCAATATTAAGGAATATCACAGGCCTTTTCTGTAGTCCCCATGCTGTAGGACATCATATCTCATTTTTCACAAATCATTTAAGATCTAGTGTTCTGTTGAGAATTTGGGGCCTAGTTATATGCAGGCTGCCTTTTAAATAGTTTGTTCCTGTTTTCATTATACAGATTTCCACATTTTTTTTGTAAAACCCTGGAATTGCATAGAAGCGAACAATGAAAAAAACATGTAATAAATTAATCAAGCAATGTCAAGCATAAAGCTCCAATGTAAGAAGCACATCATCAAATAAAATGTAGTGTATTTAATAATGCTATTCGCACCAAAAGAGAAGATTCAGTTGGATGCAATACAATGGCATCTTGTAAGGCAACATACTTGAGTGTATGATTTTAAGTATCCTAATCCATAGTCTTAATATTTTTACCTATACTAGCAATAATAGTACAAGCCCAGTAAATCTAAAAGTGCCTTGTATACAAATGAAGCATTAGACTAGAAGTTACAGAGCAGCATTATAGAAAATATGCTGCTGTAATAACTCCAAACCCTGTACATACAAACCAATTTTTGGCATTCTGATTTCCTTTTTCAGTGCAAAAAGAAACCATAGTACAAGTCTTATAACAGGCTTAACAGAGTTTTAAAAAACTTTAAAGTATAAAATTGCATGTCATATGTAATTTGAAGGGGGAAAAACCCAAATCTTGTCTCTATCACTATGCATGACATAGTCCTATTCATTTTAAGTAATTACTACTGTACAAAAACATCAAGTCTTTGGCCGTTAAAAGTTTGTTTCAACCCTCCTGAAAAAAAATGGGCCAGAAGTCTAGGGTACAAACAGTTTTTTCCTCCAATTTCCCCAATACATTTTACATTAAACTTTTAGATTCATTGTCTTGAAGTTTAACTTGAAGTTTTTGCTTCAGTAAATAGAAGAATGACTAACAATTAATTCAGCTGATACAAAAAAATATTATGTAGAAATTACTGTAATTACTGTATGAATTTTTATCTCACACATTCTCATGTCATTATTCCTTTGAAGTGAATGATAAACATTTCCTTTTATACTATATTTCTTTTCCAATTTATTCGGAAACCAATTTTTTCCTATTCCCAAATAAAAATAGTGTTCATACAGTAATTCTTGTATAATTCTGTGTTATGGCAATGTACTACTTCCATCTACATCAACTCTGAAACTGGGATCTGTACAGATCTCCCAGTATTAAGGATTTAACATTCAGTCCTGTTGTATGTTTATGCAAAAGCTTTTCTAAAATCAGTGGGACTAAGTACCATATAAATACTTGTTTCAACTATTTCACTTTTCCAAAATCTTTACAATAACTCTTGATGCAGATTCTTAGCTATGACTATTTTTCAAATGGTTTGTTTTTAGAAATTATAAAAATCCATATATCATTCAGAAAACACAAAAGGTTTATCTTTAAATCAAATTTCTAATCATTTATCACATTAGATAAATGGTATTTGAAGGACGAATGCTATTTACATATTTTTATTACATAATAAATGAGAAAATGTAATAGGCAATTTGCATTTCATAATCTGGTGCAGCTCAATCAAAGTGAAGGGCTGTAGAAGATCTATTATATTATGAGAATGAATGCAGGATTAAAAACATGACAGTTTTTTCTAATAATTTTAGTTTCCTGTTATATGTCCTAATTTTAACAATACAAGAATACCCAATTCCACCTAAAGATCATAAATACTTTAAATATTTCATTCACTTATATCAGAGGTAACAATACAAAACTGTTGTGAAAATGGCATGCTTATTACTACTATTTTGTTTGCCATTACAGTTTTATATATATAAAAAAGAAAACCAAGCACCATTCTACATTTAAATAACTTTTATATATACAGTACTAAAGTACTCCCAAAGTAAAGTTTTTCAGAATAATAAAGGTTCCCATGCTACTGAATTTCTATCTTACCTCTTCTTCAAAACAAATGAAAAATAAAGGAAAATCTTGTTTGTACACCTGATCAGGTACAAGCCAGAAGCACTATCAGCATTCATATCAGTTACTCCACAGTCAAGTATTTAATATATACATACATACACACATGCATGTGTGTTTGTATATTTATATATGCATGTGTGTGTATACATACACATACACACATATATACTCATTTATTCGCAGAACCCCATTCATTGTTTTGAAAGTCTGATCAGGTCTGACGTGGACAACGCCCTGAAGGAATCGGAATGCCTAGAATTCTATGTCTATCTTCATATTCGTCAGTATCTGTTGAGTCTTCCTCCTCATCCATGGCACAATCATTGTGATTGGTTTCCTAAACGCAGGAAAGGCAACATAATTTAGATTTTCAGTTTCTTTAAAGAATCATCCTAGGATTAATAATAATGACAATAATTATGATAGTTTTGGTGCCTTCAAGTCAGTGTTGACTCCTAGCCACTATCTGTACTAGTCCCCTCAGTTTTCTTGGCAAGATTTTTCAGAAGTTGTTTGCTATTGCTTCCTTCTTAGGGCTGAGAGCAAGTAACTGGCTCATGATTCCCCAGCTGGCTTTGTGCCTAAGTGAAATTAGAAGTCACAGTCTCCCGGTTTCTAATCTGATGCCTTCAACCATTACACCAAACTGGCTCTCTAATGCTTATATTACCATCTCAATAAAACACAACAACAGAACCATAAAGAAGTTAATATATTAATATCTCATTTTTGCTTTTTGTGACATCCATATACTTTTAACTTGTTTTCACAATTGGCTAGCTAAATATTTAACTAAATTCTCGCTACTGCCATATTCTACTTATAAAATAATAAATCTAAATAGAACATTTTAATAGATATCCCAAATTGTAACTTACAAAACTGCTGAATATATTAGAAATGACTACTCAGTTATGTACAATATTTCTCAATTATGTAAAGTGCCTAAATAATTGGGACTCAATATTCTGTTAAGCAGGCCATGCAGGTAAATAGAAAGCAAACATGAATTATTGACAAAACAGGATATGAAACCTAATCTAATATTCTGTTTCTTAATCAGCTAATTCAATTTTTGTAGGACCAATGAGTAAAATATTCATCCACATCAGTTTTTTTTATTAAAATACTATATAGGATCTTTTATTGTGTATTAGAATGCTTTTAAATGTTTTATGAACTCTACCTTAATAATTTTCAGAGAATAAAGTTTTTTAACAAAGCACATCAAGACAAGATCTGCTTTTTTATTTACACTTATAGAGTACCTAAATTAATACAATATAAATTACTGTCAAAATGTAGAAATGTAGTCCAAAACAATCCTGTCAAAAATATTTCATTCTCAGCTACTAATGTTAAGTATCATTGTGATTATATATTAATCATTTATCTAAAATTCATCTTGTTGGATTATACTTTTAAATGAAATTACGTAGCCCTTATGGATTTTTGCAATAATTGTAATAGATCCTCCATTCTGCATGTTTAACACATATTTACTATCAGAAAGCAAATTAGATTGTTGAACATCCAGTTTGATTCTGAAAGCTACGAATTGTACCCAATTATGAGCATCCTATGATGCAACAGGGAAGCTGGACGTAAGTTTAATGAAAGCAATGAAAAGTCTGTTCATAAAGGATGTTGCTTTGATAATTTTTATGCAAAAAGAATACTATTTTAAAAATACAAGTCTACTAGAATTCAGGGACGATATATAAAAATTATTGCCTAAACCAAGTTGTTTCAACTTACCATACGTGCGATGGATACTTTGAATGTTGGGCAAACCATGTGAAATCTAGGAATGGTAACATTAAAAAATCTATCTTTGTAGTATAGACAATGGAATGTATAGTATCCTTCCATGTATCCTGATGTAGTAGCAAATGTAGTACAACTAGTATACTCATAGACTCGACCAGGACTAATTATTGGAAATTCTCCTGCAGAAATAAAATGATTAAGAAAACTTTAGAATCAAGTACACATAAATTAAGGCCAAATTATATGTTAGGAGTAAATAATTATTTTAAAATGTGATTCAATAGCTTGTAACAAATGTGGCTTGAAACAAGTAAGATATCATGCATTTCTTACAGATCTCCTGAGTGCTCTATGACAATCAGAATACTGAAATTTAATCTGAACATGGATGTACAGGTCTTCATCTATTGTGAAATAAATTCTAGACTGAGCACAGCAGCTTGTGGTTTTTTTCTTTAAACTAAACAGCCAATTTAATCAAACATCTTTATTATTTTAAGCAAATTAACCAATCATTTAGTTAAAATTTTGAAACAATATCCCTTACCTACTACTCCAGGACCCTGGACCTCCTCCACATCACCTTTGGCATTTGTTATTCTCCAATAACGGCTGTCTAATTGACAAGTCTTTTCTGGAAGTGCATCTTTGGACATCTCAATTCTAAAAAATTACACAAAACATTTCTTTTAGAAATGTGTCATCTACACAGCATAGCAGCATACATTGTCCAGAAATATTCATTTTTTAGTCTTGTGGAAATATTTTTGTAAAGGAAGCAAGATGTATGCTATCTACATTACATATCAGCTTATGAATGCAATGTAATTTGAGAAAAGTAGGCATTTTAAAAAGAAATAAGATTTTTTTAAAAAGAAAGTAAACAGCAGACATTCTGCTTTTCACATACAGTATACAGCATCACATATTCCTCAGTGATACGATAAAAATTTCTGAGCATCTTATTTTTTTAGCCAGAAGGTATCATATGTATTCTATCATGAGCATTCTGTGATAAATGGCTATGATATATGTAGAACCATATTACATAACCACATATTATAAGAGGCAATAAGAAGCATTTTCCTATGGAGATAAATACATTTTGACTGTATTGGAAATACAAGTAAAGTGTTTAAGAAAAAGTACAACCACAATTGAGCCCAGTATTTCTGAACAACAGAATTGAGCCCAGTATTTCTGAACAACACTTGAGGCATTTGTTAAGTGAGTTTTGCTCCATATTAGCTTTCTTGCCTCAGTTCTTAAATGAATCACTGCAATTGATAAGTTAGTAACCTGGTTGTTAAGTGAATCTGGCTGCCCCATTGATTTGCTTGTCAAAAGGTCGCAAAAAGTGATCACATGACAGTGCAACCGTCATAAATGGGACGTTACCAAGTGTCCAAATTTTGATTGTGAGACCATGGGGATGCTACAAATGTCGTAACTGTGAAAAATGGTATAAGTCACTTTTCTCGGTGCCATTGTAACTTTGAACAGCCACTAAATGAACTGTTGCAAGTCGAGGACTACCTGTACACTAAGGAAACCAACCTGACACGTGTGGAAACAACATGTGATTATTACAGGAAAAAAATACTGAACTGGAATGGTTTTCAGACCAATATCTCTGTTTTACATTGCAAAACAATCCAAAAACTTAGTTTGGGTTCTCAAGTGGTAGAAATCAATATTTGCACATTTTTTCAATTATTCTTAAAAATATTTTACATTTTTAAAAATGTTTTTAATAATTAAACATGCAGTTAACAATGTGATTAATTCATTAATATGATTGTACTAATTTTACCTGATTCTGTAAGTGAAGAAGTAATGAGGCGGATGCACAGAGCTGAGTTCAGGGAGGAAAGATGTGGAAACTGAAACAGTAATATCTCCTGTTTTGGCAACACAGTCCTTTTCATGAACGTATCTAGCAAATGAAAAAGTAAAATTTTCTTATCTGATATGTAAAGGAATAAATATTGAAAGATTAAAGCCAACATTACATGTTTCAAATAGTGCATTTTATACTTTATTCAAACCTGTATTAATACATCTGCTATTTCTACTGTACTCACATCTAAATATTGTAATGGTTATTTCCTCACATCTACTTTTCATCATTACAAATACTTATAAATAACATGAAGATATTAGTTGAAACCAGGACTGGAAATCCAAGTTTCCAAGAGCAGCTATACCTGCCATTCAGAGAGCCAAAAGCTATTCTAGAATCACCTAAACTATACAACACGATATCTTGTCTGTACAATTTTGAAAACCCTGCATAATTAGTGGGGCTCCCAACCTAATGAGTAACAGCATCACAGCAATGACTTATAACAAAAATAATATAGTAATTAATGCCAACATTACATTCTCCCATTTCTAATGCTGATAATTCAATCTCCAAAGGCCTCCTAGAAAGCCTTTTAACAAATATCTAGAAAGTGATGATAGTAGGAACCATTCTTTTTGGGATGGGGGTGGGTAGGTAAGGGCAAGTTATTTCAGAGAAAAGGAGGTTCCACCAAGAATGACTGCCTCTGTCATAACCTTAGCATAACTTTTGTTTAGCACAAAACAATACAGATAGTTGTCAATTTATGACAGTTCATTTAGTGACCATTCAAAGTTACAACAGCACTGAAAAAAGTGACATGACCATTTTTACACTTATGACCATTGCAGCATCCCAATTGACAACTGACTCACATTTATGACAGCTGCAGTGTCCCAGGGTCATGTGATCCCCCTTTGTGACTTTCTGACAAGCAAAGTCAATGGGGAAACCAGATTCACTTAACAACCATATTATTAATTTAAAACTGCAGTGATCCAATTAACAAATGTGACAAGAAAAGTCATAAAATAGAGTACAACTCACTTAATGAATTTCTCACTTAGCAACATAAATTTTGGGCTCAATTGTGGTCGTAAATCAAGGATTACCTGTATATTAGGAAAACATTTTTCCTAACAGCCTGCTTTTTTTGTATTACAGATAAATAACAAATGGATTTTCATTTTAAAATGTAGTTTTATTTAAAGAATGTTAAATTGTTTTCTAAAATATAGTAAAACATTTCTCTCAATAGTTTTGCATATGTTATTAATACTTTTTACAAGACTATGAGCCTTTGTTTCTGTAATCTGTAGTACAAAACCTTTGCTTTCTCATTTACATATTATTACTATACCTAAATACTATCAATATTCATATTTATACAAATTTCTGTTGTTTTTTCTTAATTACAATAAAATATAATATTGTATACTGTATTGTAACAGTATTGTACTGTAAAACTAAATTTATAATACCTGAAAATCTGGTCTCGGATGATTGGATAGCCACCTGTTATTACATTGTTAACATAGGAGGTGAACCACTCCAAATAGGAATTACCTAGATGTTGAAGAAGGAAAAACAAGTTTACAAGAAAAAACAAAACAAAACCAGGATCAATTGATTAGATCTTTAATAGAATCGATAAAACTCAAGTCTTCCTTGTAACAAATATATTGTCTCATTTGATGGCAACTATAAACAAGCTAGGTATCTAATTAAGCTGATACAATATTAATTAATAATTTATGAATATAAACATCAGAGTGAACAGTAAAGACTGAATAGCTCACTCTTTATGTAGAACTAGAATATCACAGTAAAAGACATCACTGGGGTAGAAAGATGGATTGGAAATTAGTTTTCAAAGATTTATAATAACCTGCACAAAGGTTTAGAGTAGGTAATGCATGCCAAGAATAGTTGTTCCATATAATTTATTTCCTGAAACTGTGCTTAAATAGCTGCCAATCAACTTTCTCCAAGCAGATGAGTTTCAATTATGTTAAACTATAATCTCATCTGTAGTTGATCCAATAGTTGACTCACTTTATTTACTAGGAGGAAAGCTGCTGTAAAGACACATAGTAATGTCAGATATGTTGAGCATCTGTTGGGAATAAGCATATACATGTTGCTCATCATCCTAATTATCATCTTCCCGTTATTCCTCTTGAAAATGTTTCTCCATTAGAGTTCCAAAACATATTTACCTGTGATAAACATATCAATTGCAGATGGATTACGGGCCATTTGATCCTTCAAATAAAATGAAGAAGGTTATTTGTATCCTAAAATAAATATTTTTAAAAGGCAAGACGAATACTACATAAACAGCAATAAGATTTCTGTCACTTTTTATGGAGTTTTAGTCTTGTATACTCTCTCTTTAAAAAAAGTGTGTTGTACAAATAGATTGTTTGCTACTAACATTTATAATAATTTAGCAAACTAAACTGGAAAATTTAATTTTGTTATATTATCAAGAACATAGTTTGAAAAATCACTAAAAATACATGAATTAAACCCTTTAAATTTGTAACTTTTAAAATATTGTTATTCTAGTTTAAAGCAAATTACAATATCCTGTTAGGATGCAGCCTATTACACTGACATTTCAATCCTAAAACAAGCAAAGAACAGTAATATTTTTAGAATATGCTACTGAGTTGTACTATTACTGTATAAGTAACTTTACATCCAAGATTTATAGTTTAAAATACTGATGAAAAATTCAATTAAATACAAAGGAAAAAAATTAAGACCTTAGTATTATATAGATGGAAAAGTTATATTATAATATGTTTGGGAAATGAAAGTTTTGGTTTCAGGAATTCTGAGAGAGAGGTTTCTCCTTTTAGGGGAACTAAAAACAGGATGTACTGGCAAGCAGACCAGATGTGATTTTCACAATGTAAAAGTTGTTACTGGAAATTTATTTTGAATACATTCAAAATATAAGAACATGATAAATGAACACTCTTCTACCATTAAGCAAAATCCTGTGTTATCAGGGATATACGAACAATCTGATGCGAAAATGACAGAATTGATTTTTATATCTTAGCACAATAAAGAGATGCTACATTTAATTTTTATTGTATTGACAAACAATGTATTACTATAGATAAAACTTATGCCAATTTTTATAAAAATCAGCAGAGCATTATCGTCTACCAATTTTTCAAGTTATTCATATAAACAAACATTTCCAAAAGTGTAAATGTTCTTAATAATATACAGCACTAAGTAAAAACTATAATAACTATACCATTACATTACGATTTGTCAGTCTATTCCAAATCATCATGCAGTATTTTATTTCTGATGATTTCCTACTCACAGTTCTCATCTAACAGTTCCTCTGACTGTTGATCTTGATGCAAAGGGTTTTTTTTCAACGGCCTAATTAATTTTCACTTTTCTGACAGCGGTTAGAGCCCTTGCTATCCTCTCAAACCTGTTTCCTCTCCACCAGTTACAACTTAAAACATTCATGTGACCTTTTGCCACTGATGGGAAGGGGAGGGGGAATCAGATGAAAAAGCAGCTGACTTTAAATATTCTACAGAAACAGTCAAATTATGCCCATGGTTATGTATCAGTTTCATGAAGTGTGCGAGCAGCATTATTGCTGTCTAAAAATACATTTACAAATCTTTCTTACTGGACATTGGTAGAAGATTTCATACTTATTGCGACCCTCCACGCTCTCCAGAGCCATATATTGACTCAATCCAGTGTGAATGCAAAAGGTTAAGGGAAGGCATTGCTTCAGTCCTAGTCGCTGCTGAAAACCCCCAGCTGCTGTGTCTATGTCCAATAAATCTTCAGAGCGATAGTGATTGGAGAGTGCCATGCTTCCCATCAACCTTTGTATAAAAAAAAATTAAAATATGCTTAAGAACATTAACATAATTTTTGAATTCTTGTGCATAAAATTAATTCCAAAGAGCAATTACAATGAATTTTAATCTCTCACCCTGGGACAACCAGCTTCTGTCCATTATGGATTCGAAATGAACATCGATAATCATCAGGTAATTTGCAACCAATCTGTGCCTCCACTGCATCCAGATCATCTTCCTGAACGCTGTCTGTTATAAGTTACAAGTTTTCACACACAATTTCACACAATATAAACAAGCAACAATCTAAGACCCAATGCTAAACTGCTCAGCAAGTCCCATAGAAATCAGCAATTCTGATAATTGTGTTAGGTTCATCTTCAGAATGTAAACGGGGCACTTTGTAACCTGTGGAACACAAAAAGAGCATCTCTATTGAAAATTTTAAATTAGATGCTTCCTGAGTAAGGCACACATGGAAGTTTCTAGTCTATCTCTGTGTTCATGTGCGTGCACTGCAACTTCCCTTTACATTGAAAGACTTGCATTAATGATTTGAAGAGAAGCAGTTCATTTGTTCTCCTGAACTCTGCAGAGCTTCTCTTTTGAATGCTTTGCACATTCCTATAAACCAGAAGTAAATAAAAATTTTACTTCCAAAAAACTCCAGGTAGTTCTTGGGTTATGATGGCAATTGAGACTGGGATTTCTGTCACTATATGATGTAATAAAATATAATGTCACTTGACCACATAGCTTAACAGCAGCAATCTTGGCATTCCTGGCTCCCGTTGTAATTTATGTAATTATGACACTCGCTAATAATTGTTATTGAGTTTCATATATATAATGGCAAAGTTAATTTCAAAATTTGGGAAGAAAAATCAAGGTACAAAGCTTTTCAAAATGTCAAGTATATATTAACAATACCTTTCAAAGAACTAATCATCCGAGGACAGTGCTGCAACAAATATTTTTCCAAATCATCCCAGGCTTTTTTAAGTGTAGCATAATACTGAATATATGTTCCCAAATCAGCATACATATCTATGAAAATTGCTTTCCAGCTCTTACTTCTTCGAGACTTTTCAGCTCTAAAAAAATCAAATATATACATATATTTTAAAAGCAGCAAATGGTAATATAAATGCCACATTTATACATTATGTACATTGACACTGTAGATAAGATTAGAAAAGCTGTTTCAAATTGAAATTTCTTTTAATCTGAGCCTGAAATAGTTATTGCCTGCTAAATGTGTTGAACTCAAAACTTTCTATACTCCATTAATTAAAGCAAGGTGGTAGTGAGATCAGCCCAGGTCTATTGAACACTGAATCACCTGGTCTGGTGATCTACTCTAACAAATTTAAACTGTTCTAGTATACCTGCAGGAGAACCAATTAATGTTTTAGAAGTTATTCCTGAAGAATACATTTGATCATGTCAAATTGATATTTAGAAACATTTCCAGTTAAGTGAAAATGAACAAAACCTCAACTCTTAATTCAATATTTTAAAATATCACTCTCTCTCCATATACATATTTATCTTCTTACAACTCATACTGAGCTTAAGGAATTAATGCATTAATTAATATATCAAATAGAGCAAAAACTCCATGCAATCTACAAATGGCTATTTGTAAGAATAGATATAAATGTATATAGATATTTATAAATAATTACTCATATTTGAAATAAAAATAGCAAATAACTCAGATGGTTAGACCTAGAGGCAATTTCAAAGCCTTGTTTTTCCAGTTTCCAATATTACAATTATTAACTTGGATTGGATAAAAATTATAAGACATTTTTATTTTATGAAAAATCAAATATCCACACTTACTCAGAAAGAAGCCAGTATTTCTTACAATTCCTCTTCCATAATGGATCATGGACTGAAAGTTGATTTAATCTACGACTTACAAAACAGCAACTGCAACAAAGAGGTATCAGATTAAATGTAATGCTAATGCTAAGGTAATTTTTATTACACAGAAGAGAATGAAGCTGAAAACCTCCAGGTTTGAAATTAAAATTAACATGTTTTATGCATACCTTTAATACTCAATTTTTAAATGACCACACATTAAATTATTTAAAGCAGATGTTCTAGATATATATTTATTTGATCACTTAGTTTCTTTTTCTGAAGCTTTCAGGATTCAATATTTAAAGAAATTGCCAGCATTGATCTGGAAAGATGGAATTAATGACAAGGAAACATGGAAATCAATAAAAAAGAAAGAAAATGTTCCCACTACTAGAAATTTATTATTTCCTTAGTTTTCAATAAATAATGCAAACATATTACTCTTAATTTCCATTCATAATTTTGAATGTCAAACTCAACATTTTATATAAAATTCTGCCAGCACATTGAAAGTTGTACGCTCAAGGAACAATCTGTTTTTGTGGTGCCATTAAGTTAGAAATAATGGACTACCATTGCAGTTTGTACCAGGCAGTAATTCTGCTGGCTTTTTTGGAAAACTATTAAGAGCTATTTTCTGGCATAGGGGGTTGGGAGGGTAGGAGAATCTATGGTGTTCTTATTGACTGGTTTCCTCAGTTGCCACTTTTATGTTCTTTTTTTTGTTCTTATTTGATCTTCTTATGGTTTTGTATTTTTAACGTTTGATAGCCAGAGTCATATTTTATAGTTCTTCCATTCACAAGTGTTTCAAAACATGTTACTTTCTCTTACAGTTTTAGAATGAGATTATCTATTATAGCTAAGTGAGGATGCAGGATTACAATGTATAGTTAAATTATGACAGGTATTGCTAACAGATTAGCTCACAGCAACTAATCATAAGTTTTAAAGTGACTGACAAAACAAAATCTGATGAAATGTCAAAACATTTATCCTATAATTTTAATGTTCATTATGCAATTCACTGTTATTTAGTGGCCAACTTAACCACTGAGGGACCCCCCTTTCAATTTTGTTTGATGTTGCTCTCTCGACATAAACACTAGTCTCAATCATCCAGGTCATTGTTGTCCCAAAGGTGCTTTTTCAAGAGGCAACTGGACTTTCTGGTTTTTCTTTGAAGACTTTTCACTTCTCATCCAAGAAGCTTCTTCAGCTCTGAAAAAGCTTCTTGGGTGAGAAGCAAAATGTCTTCAAAGAAAAACCAGGAAGTCCAGTTGCCTCTTGAAAAAGCACCTTTGAGACTAGACACTAACTGAAAGATAACTCACTTTTATTTTCACTTTTTTCACTGTTTTCACTAGGCGTTCTTTCCCTGTTATTTTGGAGGAGGTGAGCAATCTCACAGAAGAAAAAAAAATATTTGAAAGGTTAAATAGCTCCTTCTTTCTCCAATCTACTGTAGGAGCTGATATATTTTCCACTGCAAAAGGTGGTTCATTTAAGATCATCAGCAGAACATTACATCAGGACACAGGCACTAAACCCGTTCTGAGTCAATTCAACTAACGTCCTACAGTGGGAACCTTCAGCCCCCACACGAATAATTCTACTAATTGTGTTTCTCCTTCTCAGCAAAGCCTTAAATACCGTATCACAAGGCAGGGCCCGTTTTAACGCAGTGAATAATGCAAGCACCTGTTGATACATGCAAGCCTGGTGAAAGAAACCTGTCCATCAGCAAAGGGAGGTGCTTGGAAGGTTCTTCGATGCCCTGGCGAGGAAAAGCCTTCAGCTCTGCAGCCAGCAACATCGGAAAGAAATGCTTTCCCCACACATCGAGGCCTCTGCCCAGCTTCCTGCCCCACGGAAAACCCATTTGCCCCGGTTTTCGCTCGACCTCAAGGAAACCTCACCCTTCTTTCGTCACCAATCCCCATTTCCAGCCTGCTCAGAGACCCTCGAGACACCCCTCCCTCCTTCCCCTCCCTCCCTAAACCAAGCCTTCCAATCCCCATCCACGGGGGGGGGGGGAGAACGGAGCCACCGAGCTGGCTTTTCCCCCCGTCCGCCTCTCCTAAGAGGACACCGTCGCCCTTCGCCTCCCTTCTTTTCCAATGGCTGTCGCTGCAGGGGAAAGTAAGGGGCGGGTCAGTCATGCCACCGGCTCTGCCTCAGCCCCCCCCCCCCGTTCCCGGCGGTGCCCCCACCTCATGAGGTCTTTGTAATCCAGGAAGCTTAGGATGAGTAAAAGCGGGTCAGTGGGCAATTGCTCCAGGCTGAGGGTCGTCAAGTCCTGCTCGGCGACGGCCGCCATCTTGACGCTTGCCCTGCTGGCTCTTTGCTCCCGGCCCGAGGCTCCGCCCCTTACTTCGCTCGGATTGAGCCACGCGGAAGGAAGCCCGCCCACAAAGCCTGTTACCTGCGCGCGGAAGGCGCGTGCTTCTTCCCTCCTCACGCGGGTTTGTTATCAAAACAAGCGGGGAGGGGGGAAAGGAGGGAGTCGCGCGCCGAAAGGTCTGGCCCGAGAGGAGGGAGGCCTGACCTGCCTGAAAATACGCCTCGCCCTCCTCCCCCCCCCCCCTTGGTACCTTATCAGGGATGAACAGTTTGCCTGCAATTTTTTAATCTTACTAAGCCATGGGGGGCCCTTTTTAAAGGGCGTCGCCCCAGACTGAAATTGAAGCTCAGTTTGGCCTTCGCGTTAAGCCCGGCTTTGTACAAAAGTTCTCTTTTTTTTTTCTCTATAATTCTATAGAAAAAAAATTATATAGAAAAATTCTATAATTCTATAGAATTTTTTTTTCTATAATTCGACACTAAGCCGCAAGTAGTTGGGTCTTGATGTCATCCTAAAGCATAAACAGTAGGGCGCAGTCCCAAAGGTGCTTTTACAGGAGGCAACTGGACTTTCTTGTTTTTTCTTTAAAGACGTTTCGCTTCTCATCTAAGAAGCTGCTTCAGCTCTGACAGGATAGTGAGGGAATGGAAGGATTTATATTCCTTGCAGGCAGCTGGTCGTTGCGTTGAAGCACTTGGAGGTTTTATCTGTGTTCTCAGGGTGACCTGACTAGTGCTCCTGCTTCCTGTAGTCTGCAATTTTTTCTCTGGAAATCCATTCCTATTCCCACACTATTCAAAGGGGGTTCATCTCAAATTTGAATAGCTAAAAGTCTGTAGCGATTCTCAGTCATCCAGGTCATGGTTGCTTGAACTGAACTGAACCCCTTCCATTCCCCACTATCCTGTCAGAGCTGAAGAAGCTTAAAAATAAAGTCCAGTTGCCTCCTGAAAAAGCACCTTTGGGACAACCATGATCTGGATGACTGAGAATCTCTACAGACTTTTAGCTATACAATTTGGGATGAACACCCTTTGAATGGTGTGGGAGTAGGAATGGATTTCCAGAGGAAAAAATTGCAGACTACAGGAACCAGGAGCACTACTCAGGTCACCCTGAGGACACAGATAAACCTCCAAGTGGTTTATCATTTAAACCTCAACAGCCCTCTAAAACTGGTGTCATACTCAAGGCGTGAGGGCCAGATCCAGGTGCTTAGATCTGGCCTGCGGGGCTGCCCTGGAAACATTGTAGGACACTATGGCTTCCTGCCCCGCCGCCTTCCTGGGCTCCGTTTTTTGTTGGCAGGAGAAAGTCACAGCCGAAAACAGAGCTTGGGACTGTGAGGTCCTAGTGCTTTGGGAGTTTGAGGGTCAGGCTAGGTGCTTTGCCCTCTATTGCCTAGGGCTCTGGAGAGCCTGCGCTGCTGTCTGGGGTCCTCCATGTGGCCTGAGAGGGACAGGGAGGCTCCTCTGGAAGACAAGGGTTTGGCGCTCTCCCTGGTCTCACCTTCCTCCACTGGAGACAGGATTCCCCCAGCCCCACCCAGGCCACCACAGGCGCCCCCAACATGAGTGATGGCAAGCTGGCCACTTCCCCTAGTCAAAGGATCCATATTTATTTATTTATTTATTTATTTATTTATTTATTTATTTATTTATTATATTTCTATACCGCCTTTCTCCCGTAGGACTCAAGGCGGTGTACAGTCAAGAAAAATATAGACACACAAACATCATAAAATTGCTAATTAAAATTACTTAGTTTGACTAAGTATTGCTAATTAAATTTAAATTAAATTAATTAAATTGCTAATTAAAATTATTACTTAAATGACCAGCTGTCTGCAAGGAATATAAATCCTTCCATTCCCCACTATCCTGTCAAAGCTGAAGAAGCTTTTTGGGTGAGAAGCGAAACATCTTCAAAGAAAAAAGAAGAAAGTTGCCTCCTGAAAAAGCATCTTTGGGACACTATGACCTGGATGACAGAATTTCTACAGACTAGTATGGCGCAATGGTCAGAATCACATGTTGAAGGGAAGCATATGAGCTCGATCCTGTAATCGGTTTTCAGCTGGGAACATTTGAGACGCAGCTTTTGATATCTTAACCACTTGCCCCAATTCCTATCTTTTAATACAAATTCAAGCATTTTAGCAAGGACTGTGTGATTATACAGTGATGTGACAAGGACACCCATTTCGTTTATTGCACAGGCCTGAACTTGGGTAACAAAATATAAAACTGAAACTGGACTTAAAGTGAACTGAACTATAAAGATTTAGTTTTCGTACAGGTAGTCCTTGATTTACAACCACTCATTTAGTGACTGAAATTACAACAGCCCTGAAAAAAAACAGTTTTTCATATTTATGCTTGTTGCAGTATCCCCATGGTCACACGATCGAAATTCAGATGCTTGGTAATTGGTTCATATTTATAACAATTGCAGTGTCTCCGGGTCATGTGATTACTTTTTGTGACCTGACAAGCAAAGTCAATGGGGGAGCCAGATTCACTTAACAACCATGTTCCTAATTTAACAACTGCAGTGATTCACTTAACAATTGTCTAGCTTAACAACATAAATTTTGGGTTCAGTTGTGGTTGTAAGGCTATCTGTACTTATTTTATTTGAAACACTGATAAAATAATAAAGAATGTACCTTTGATATATATCATTGTACACATTCTCATTAATGATATTTCAATTTGTCTATTTTTTAAAAAGTCCTTATTCAAGATCTTGTCTTGAGAGTGAGATTTCAATATCACAAAGAGCTTTTGTAAAATTAGTCACTATGTAAGTTTAAAAATACATATCCTTTCCTTATTTCTTACTTGATTCCAAACTACTGTTTCTCCAAATTCAATTCTTATAGTATCTTCTTTTTCATGGTAAGATTCCTCAGTTGCTCAGAGTAAGCATTAGCAATAAATGATTTTTTTTGTATAACATTCTTTTAAACTACCTCTTGCATTATTGTATTTAGCTAGTCCAGATTCTTCTACTTCTCCAACAATTGGATACAAAGCATTCTTTTGATGTTACATATAACATCTCCTGCACTTTACCAGACAATACCTTAATGCCTTATTCTATTAAATCTATTGTGGGACATACATTTATATAGGTAGATCTTGATTAGTGTGATTAATGAATCCCATGAAAAGGTCTCATTGTTCAAATTCACTATTGAAAATGAGTGCTATGAAAATAGGGTAATTGGCTTCAGCTTGACGGAAATAGGCAATTAAAAAATTTAAATATAGTTTTATAGATTTATTAATGAAATATTATATAACAGCAAAAGAAGGAAAACCCTCCTGGTTTTTTTTCTTGTCTACTTAAGATGTTCCAGAAAACTAGTTGGTTTACCTGATTTTAATAGTCTGTTAGTTGTTTCTGAAATGTTTTGATTTATTGTAATCTTATTATTTTCATAACTTTTGTTGATTGTGGTATTGTGGTTTGAATGGTCAGGCACTTTTTGATAAAGTTGCGTAAGAATCCATTTTGTTGGAGGTTGTGGTAGAGGCAGCATGTTTCCTTTTTCTGGTATTCTGGGTTGTTGCAATGCAGTTGTACTTATCTGAATAATGTTCTCACTCAGTTCCTCTTCTAGGAGGCTGGGTTGTTACTTTGGTAATGGAACACTTGGTTAATCTATTGGGTTGTTTTCTAACACACTTGCATTTTTATTTGCCGTCATTTTCCCTGATGATGCTGATATCCAGGAAGAGTAATGTGTTGTTTTGTTCATGTGTCTCGTCTAGTTCTTTTTTTATTATTATGAAGATGTCATGTACGTACCAGATAGATATTTTTTGTTGTATGTGTGGGAGGGCTATATGTTAGATGTTTGTGAAAAGAGGAAGTCTTCTCTTCATATAGGCACCATCAGTGACCTCCTTGTGCCTTTGGTCTGATCATACAATCAACTGCAAATTTATTCATGGAAGTTCTACACTTCTCCTTGACACATAACAAATGGAAATGTCCTCCACCCTCAGATCATATTTTAGTTACATAAAAAACAGATCTAACATTTGGTCATCTATATGGGTCAGACCATAATCACCAGAAACAAGTGTTTGGTTTTCATGGGGCCCATAAATTCATGAGAAAGTCTTGTGTTTTCCAAAAAGACAAAGTTGAAATTCCTCAGAACTAAAATCTGTCCAATACTAACCCTCTTATAAAATCAAACAACTCAGGAAGAAATGATGCTGTGCAAATCTTTAAAGATTTGAAGTTATTTGTTAGCAATGTGCACTCAGTTCTGGGAAAAGGCACTACTACTTTTAATACAAAATTCAATGGCTAGGATTTTAGTTAATATAAGGTACAGGTATTAGATGAAGCTTATTCCTGGTTGCCAATTGTATAGGAGATAATTTAAGATCTTGGTGTTTATTTCTTCATATATGAAGAAGAATCTGGAGAGACTCTTGATGATCCCTCCTTTAACAGAAACTCATATATTTGTTATAAGGTCTCAGATTATTTTTTAACATCAATAGGCAATAACATTCAGCAAGAATTTATAGTAACTTTATTTAAAATCAAATCAGTTTTATCTAATTAAAAGATAAATTAGATTAAAATGGAATTTTAATCTGAAATTATAAAATACTGAGCCTTAAGGGTCCTTTCAAAATGACAGAAGAACAGCATTAAGAAATAAAATTTATTTATAGGTTTTTAGATACAGAAAATAATGGTTTATAGGACAAAGACTGGCTTATCACAACATGCTAGCCTAATTTATATAAACCTATCTTTAATTTAAATTATTCCATTATAAAAATACATAGTATAATAAAACTCTGCCTAAAATATTTTCACTGATTATTGCATAAATTATTTTTGTCACAGAGCAGGTATGAAGTATTTCATTTTCTTACAGAGTGAACAAAAAAAATGAATTGTCTATTTGATTTTGTCTGCACTGCAGCAGGCAGTCACTAAAAAGGTTAAATACTAAACTAACATACTATATATGGAGATGCCAACTATACATTGTTATACCGTACCATGCTAGCAATTTTGTAGATTACTATTT